GAGCTCAAAACTCAAATGATTCAATAGGTGCAAGCTGCTTGTCCTTTCTATGGATACCTAGTGAAGATTCCAAAGAGCACATCAGAAAGTTCCTGAGATTGTTCAGTACCTTCAAGATTCAAGATTTGTCCAAGGACAAGGTTTACTTGAGACTGTTTCCATTCACATTGCAGGACTTAGCCGCCAAATGGTTGGACACTCTGCCCAACAATTCAATCAACTCCTGGAATGGACTCAGACAGACATTCCTTACTAAATTCTTCCCACTTGTCAAAGCTGCTGTTTTAAGATCAGCCATCATGACTTTTTGGCACCATGGGACAGAGACTCTTTATGAGGCTTGGGAGAAATTTAAGGAACTAATGAGGAAATGTACTCAACATGGTGTAGACAAAACCGATGCTGTTGTGTATCTTTTACAATGGATTACCGCAGGCTTCCAGAGAATCATTTGATTCATCTTCTGGAGGAGCCTTCATGATGAAACCTGTGGAGGAGGCAATCCAGCTTCTGGAGAAGATGTGTGCTAATCATTTCAGATGGTAGAAGGAGCCCAGAGCTACAATAAAGAAAGTAGGAGTATTGGAGCTTGATGCTACAACTCGCTTGCAAGCCCAGATGGCAGCCATCACCAGTGAAATAACCAAGTTAAGAGCTGACATCAATAAGCCAAAAGCTGATATCTGTGAGATTTGCATAGGATCTCACAACAGCTCCTCTTGTCAAGCCACATTGGAAGAAGTTTAGTTCGTGAGACAAGGAAATGACAGAGGAGGATTCAGCAATTACAACACTTGGAGACCTCAGCAGAGCAGCAAGTGAACTAATCAGCAATGAAACTATCAGCGACCAGCTCAACCACCAGGGTTTCAGAGTCAGCCATTTAGAGTCAAGGAGGAGGACTGGATCAAGGTGGGTAATGTTCTTGATAGTCTTGATGCCTCTATAAAAGACATGCAGGATCAGGTGGCACAAATGGTAAGGAAGATACTAGACAGACCTGCTGGATCACTTCCAAGTGACACATTGGAGAATCCTAAAAGGAGAGAAGCACCACATGCAGTTCATAACCAAGAGATGCAGCACAAGGATGTGATGCAACTCAAGGAAGCAGACTAGAAGCACCACTGGGTCTGGCATGAGACTTTAAATCAATGCATTATTTGGGAGGCAACCTAAGGTAAGTTCTTTTGTTCTTCTTAATTTTGATTCAAGTAGTATTTTGTTATTTAATCAATCTGTTTAGTGGCAATCAGAAAGGGTGAAACAACCCTTATAAGAAATTTTCAAGTGGAGACGGAGTGGATGGTAAACAAGAAATGCCTTGTCGACTATGATATAGTAAAAATGGCAACATTTAAGTTTAATTCTCTACACAGAGCAATGGACATTGATCTGTCATCTCAATTGGGTGAGTGATAGACTCACTTTTGCAACTGAGATGATTTATCAAAGGAAACTTGCAATATGTTACAAACATCATGTTCTGAGGGGACAAGCAGGAAAGAAGGATTATTCTAAAATTGCCTCGAAGGAGTGGGAGTGTTTGACCGGTTTTTGGGAAAATGGATCACCCCACCTTTCACAAAAACAGCTGCCCACTACCCCACTCCCTTCATAAATGAAAACGTTCCACACCTTTAATTATTCCAACACCCTTTAAAAGCCAAGTAGTATACAGAGCAAATCCAAAAATCATTCCAGAAAATAACAACCCCCCAGATCTCCACTCATCTTTTTCTTGGGAAACATATACCTCACCTGAACCATATACCCCATCCATGGAAAGAGTGAAACAGACCGCTAGGAAAAGAGTACAATAGATTCAAGGAATCATGGCTCATCCACCCTGCCTCCCAAGGACTCCAACCAAAGCACAAAGGGAAGAGCACCGGAATCGCCTCAGAGGGATCGAAAATTCTGGTCTGATAACAACCTTTGAAGGAGCAGCATTCTACCAATTGACCTGAGAAAGAAAGGCTACCTTGGAAAGAGGAGTCGATGTTTCAACTGATCCACATTCATACATAATGGAGCGTGTCTGGCAAGGGTTCTACAACTTCACAGTCCAACCAAATCTCATAGCAGTCAGAGAATTCTACTGCAGCCTGTGTGGAGCAGAAGGAGACGAGATTACTGTGAGATGATAGACAGTCGATGTTAGCAGAGCAGCAATTCGCGAGATACTGGAATTACCTGCTGACATTGCAGCCTATGAAGACACGGCACACTATATGATGGACAGCACTCCAGACGAGGAGCTGCCACTAGCACTTTGTGAAGATGTAGACGAAAGCATATGGATAGTCGACAGTCATGGATATTTGAAGAACTTTCCAGCCTCCAAATTAAAGCGAGCTTACAAACCATGGTTCAATTTTATCTGCACCAATTTGATGCCCTCATACAGTCGGGGGGTTGGTGTCATTTGACGCAGCAATCTTACTATATGCCATCACCATGAATATCCCAATAGACACTACAGACATCATCCGAAAGCAGATGCACCAATGTCTGGATATTAGACAGAAATACTGGTTTTTTCTAATCTTGGCTACAAGATTGATGATGAGGGCAGGAGTCTACTTCTTGCCAGGAGATGAAAGGGAGAGATCCCAGCCCATGGAGCTTGCAAGGACCATCTGACCCTTACATCTAATGATTACCCAGGGAAGTACTATGTTTTCTTCTTCTTTGTTTTCTTTTATTTTCTGTTTTTGATTTTTCCTTTTTTAGTATGTTTGTTTGTGTGTCTTTGAGTTCTTAGGATAGATAGAGTCACTTTGTATGATGATTTTTCTGAGTATAGTTGAATTGGATGCTAAGTGTTTGTGTTTGTTCTTCTCTTATTTTTTGTGTATGTAAGCATTGAGGACAATGCTTATTTTAACTTTGGGGGAGGGATTAAGTCTAAATTCGTATGCTATGTTTTGACAGGATCAAATTTTGAGAAACAACAAAAATTTTAAAATTTTTAAGTTTGTGTGCAACTGTGAACAAGTCTGTGTATATGTGCGTCAAATGTCTATGATGATTCAAAAAATGTGTGGGTAGAGCCATGCACTTTTGTAGTAGCTATGTGCAATGTTCGCTGGCGAACTGCGTTGCAGCAAGAGATACATGCTCTTGAACATAATGACACTTGGACATTGGCTTCTCTTCCTTCTGGCAACCGTGCTATTAGCTGCAAAGGGGTTTTTAAATGAAATACCTTTCTGATGGCTCAGTTGAGCTCTATACGGCGCGTCTTGTGATACTTGGTAATAATCAAATTGAAGATCTTGACTATAATGAGACTTTCGGTCCTGTTGCGAAAATGGTAACTGCTCGAACCTTTCTTGCCTTTGCTGCTGTAAAGGTTGGGAGTTTCATTAAATGGACGTTCATAATGGCTTTCTCCATGGGGATCTCTCCGAGAAAGTCTATATGGAGTTACAACCTGGTTTTTCTTGCTCTCAGCTAGGCCTGGTGTGTCGTCTTCGGTGTTCTCTTTATGGTTAATGCTAGACTCCTCGTTGCTGGTTCGCTAAGTTGGCAGGCGCTCTTCGCCGGTATGGCTTCCAGCAGTCTACTTTAGATTATTCCTTATTTACTCTGACGCGTGCAGTGTGTAGATCAATGTTTTAGTCTATGTCGATGATCTTATTCTTTCCGGCAATGATATTGCTGTGCTTCTGTCCTTCAAAGAGTACTTATATCACTGCTTTCAGATGAAGGATCTTGGGGTCCTTAAGTATTTTCTAGGTCTTGTGGTGGCTCATCATTCTTCTGACATTTTTCTTTGTGAGCGTAAGTATGCTCTAGACATTATTTCTGAGGTTGGTTTGCTGGGGGCTAAGCCAACTGAGTTTCAACTTGAGCGGAATCGTAATCTTTCTTCCGCTGCTGAGCTTCCGTTTTCATATCTTGTTCGTTATCGATGCCTGGTTGGTCAACTGAACTATCTGGCTGTTACTCATCTAGAGTTATCTTATTCTGTTCACATTCTGTCCCAGTTTATGCACAAGCCTATGCAAGCTCATTTGGATGCCGCTCTTCGCATTGTTCGTTATTTGAAGGGCACTCCTAGACAAGGTATTTTTCTTCGGGGTAACTGTGATTTACGACTCTCTGCCTGGTGTGATTCTGATTTGGGCAAGTTATCCTTTGACTCGTCGTTCTCTTACGGGTTAATTAATTCAACTTGATGCTTCTCTGATTTCTTATGGGTATTTTTCTCTTACTGTTGCCCGATACTCGGCGAAGGTGAGTATCGCTCCATGACTTCTACTATTTGCGAGTTGAAATGGTTGAAGGCACTTCATAGTTGTCTTGGTGTTTCTCATTCACAATCCATCCACTTACATTGTGATAATCAGGTCGCTTTGCATATTGCGGCTAACCCTGTTTTCCATGAGCGCACGAAATATATTGAGGTGGATTGTCATTTCGTTCATAATGAAGTTCTTGCCTGTACTATTCTTCTGAGTTAGTTGTCTACTCATGTGCAACTTGCTGATATCTTTACCAAGGCTTTAGGGAAATAGCAATTTGAGTTTCTATTGTCCAAGTGTTGGGTATTCGAAATCCCCATACTCCAGCTTAAGGGGAGGGGGGTATTAGGGTTGTATATGTAATATTGTCTTTACGGTACATAGTTATCCTTTTACGGTTTTGTGTAATATTTATATGTTTGTTGTATAAACCCTAGAGTTATCGATTTTACGGCAAACGTTTATGCCGGCCGACTTAATGAGAGAACTTCATCTCCTTCGCAACGTTTTTCTGGTTTACTTTATCAAGGACATATGGGAATCAATTAACCGATTTAAGCTCTGGACTTCAGCTATTTCAAAATGTTGTTTATTTTATTCATAAGGATTCAATTTATCATCCAAATATATCACTTCCAAAAATAAAATGATGTCATTAAATAAATCAATTTTAATATAACTAAAAAAAGGTATAAAAAAAAGTCGAATCTACATTTTGCTAAAAAAAAAATGTGAAACTACAAGGGAGGGAAACAAAAAATTAAAGACGGAATTTGGTTTTAACCCCATAAATGGGCCGCCAGATTTATTTTTTTCAAGAAAAATCCATCTTTGGTTTCTTTCTCTTCTGACTCATATCGCCCGATAACCCCAAACCCAATGAAGCGTCATAGTTTGCATCCTTGTCAGATCTGCAATTGAAAATAGTGCTTGTGCTTCTGCCTGAAGAATTCTTCCTTCCAAGCTCATGGTGTAATAACCTCGAACGATACTCCTCAATCTGTTCCTTAAGAGCTTCATTCTCTAAAACAATCTTCTGCTCCTGCAATTTGGACTTCTCAATCAGCTCCAACAGAACTTGCTCCTTCCTATCCTTAACAGCCATTATTTTTTCGCGCAGTTTGCCATCCAAACGATGCAATTCCTCCAACTTAGCGATTTGAGTTGGTTGAGGCATTTGAGGTGATTCATGAGGCACTTCTTCAACTTTGGGTTGCTCTGTACCATCCTCAGAGGGAACAAGTTTGGCACCATTAGGGTTTGTTGGGTACTTTGCGATGATGTCTTCCATGTGCGAATTACTAGCGAATTCGTAGAGTTTTCCAGTGCTGGAAAAGAGTATTACCCCAACCTCACCATCGCACAGAATCGCCAGTTCCCTGGCTTTCTTCAACAAACCTTCCCTTCGTTTCGAAAACCTAACTTGCGTGCTGTTGAATTTCTCCGTCTTTTTCACGTCAACTTTCCCCCTTTCCATGATTCTTTTCTTTCTCTCGATGGTTTTCTTGATTTCGATCTGATATTTGCGAAAAGGCTTCCCTTCGATTTTCTTCTTTTTATCTCAAAGTACGAAATAAATATTGACGATGTAGGGCATAATGTTATATATAGAGACTTTTGAGCTTTTGGTAGTTGACTCCTATTGGGATTCGCAGATCATACAATTGTTATCACTTCATTATCCTTAAGGAAAAAGAAAAAATGTACGTAGTATGAACACAAAAAGAAAAACAAAACTACATAGAATCCACGGGGTATATATTTGTAAGGATAAGGACTATTCTTGAAATATATTTGAGAAAAAGTTTCATTATTATCTTTTTCGACCAAAGTTATAATTTCTGTATGCTTTTTGTGAGTACAAATATACTCCCTCCGTCCCACAAAAATACTCCACATTGAGTTTTGAGTTTTATACTGTTTTTAGTACAAATTTTAAAACTTAATGTAGACTATTTTTGTCGGACGGAGGGAGTAATATTTTTGGAATTCTTTTCGTAAACCACCTTGGTATCGGGGAATATGGTTCCCAATTCCATAAATGAATAGATAATGTAATGGGAAGTGCTTAAAACTTACTAGTGGGTGGCCCGCTTGTTGTGCGGGTTGTGAAATTTTTTCGACATAATTAATGTGAAATAAAGATTGTCGAAAAACACGGGGTGAAAACAAATAATTACAAACTGTTTGGTTTGGGATATTTCAATAATAATTTTATCATGTTTGATTGACTTTGCTTTTGAAAGACATCCGACTAGAGGTCTTACCAATACTGGGGAATTTGTTTTTAAATCGACAGAAGTCTATTTGTTTGTTTGCTTTCTATTCCAGGCTCATTGATTTTTTTTTCCTTTTTTTTTGAACAATGCAAGGGATATTCATTTTTTTCTTCTTTATTTTATTTTTTTCTCCCCAAGTCGATTTTGTCTTGTTTAATGGAATTTTTGGGAAAAATGTTGAAGGAGCCAAAAGCCAATTAAAAAAAAATCAAGTTCACTCGGCTGTAGTAAATTTTATTGAGTAATTTATTTGTTTTACTTATTTACGTTACAATCTAATAATCTTATCCGTAAATCAATGCAGTAAATCTTATCTCAACAACTTGTACATAATCTTATCAGTGAACTTCTTTTTATTGATAATCTTATCATTTATTTTTTCTAAAGGAAATAGATTATTAATATATGGTCCAACGTTCCTTTGTAACTATCAATTTTACACATAATAATCACGTCATAAAATAAAACCGGAAGTTGGCTGCTCAGGCATATATCTGGATTTCTATAGTCAAGCCGCAAGGGTAGACATTCAAAAAAAAAAAAAAAAGACGGAGAAACACCTTAGAGAATTGCGTGGAGTTAACCATCAAACATCTCATTGAAATGGAATTAATAAATTTTTTTAACATGTCGATGAGTAAAAATTTTTAAACATAAACAATTGTAATATATGGTGATTTTAAAAAAGTCCGTCATAAGATGGTTTAGTCTTAACCAGTTTTAATTTTTGTTAAATTAGTATGAGGATTCTTACAATAGAATCACTAACTTACAATTTAAAAAAATTTCTATTTTATGGACTTAATAATACCATCAACCCCAATGGTATGTAAACTAACTGAAAAACATTCGTAGCCATTTATTTTAATAAAAAAAAGTTCTCAAACACCCAAAGTAAATCAGGTTTAGATATCAGTTCCCGTGCAAAAAATATATCAATAGTAAGTAGTAGTCAGTAACTATGGATGATGCATGAATTTCGTCTTCCATCTGGGCACGACAGAACTTTTCATTGTCCAAAAATCTAAATACTCCCTTATTATTTCATATATAATAATCAAATACTTCTTCAGTTCTAGTACATTAAATTTTAAAATTTGTACAAAAATCAGTACAAAATTCATAACTCAATGTGGATATTTTTCTTGGAAGTGAGCAAATACATTTAAATTCTCCATTCAATGCGATTCCGACAATCTTTATTTCACAGGAGAATCGAGACGACTCGCCAGAATAGCGGTTGACATATTTTCCACTTCCATGATTGATGTTGCCAATGAGTTGGGTATTCCCAGTTATATTTTCTTTACTTCAGGGGAAGCGGTTTTAGGCCTAATGCTCCATTTCCAGGAGTTTGAAGATGAGAAAGAGACCGATGTTTCCTCAGAGTTGTCAAACTTGGAGATTTCCGAGTTTTGAAAACCCAGTACCATTCTCCACCTTCTTATCCTTGTCATCTTTCACAAAATTAGAATCCCTCAAAAATGTGAATCAATAAATCAAAAGTAATTGTAACAATGATTTTTCAAGTTTAAATTAATTAAAGCCCTTTTGATACGTACCTTGACAAAGTTTATAACATCTCTGACGTATTCTTCATCACCCTTGAAGTCAATGAAAGGTAATCAAGCCAGCTGCTACTCTTCTTGTCATATTTCACTATGAAATCGGATCCTTTATTGAAATAACGACACTTGAATCTCTGGTTTTCAACTTCGACCAAACACTTTTTTGAACAATAAGCAGCCTGCTTTTCTTTTGTTTTGCACGAACTAATAAATCTTTTCACCAAAGAAGCTACTCATTTTAAATGTCAAATGACCCAAAAGAACACCACAAACCACACCAAACAGCCTGCTCAATCAACAACATGCTTCTTATGTCTTTGCACGGCTAATAAGAAACTCACACAATGCTTCTCACTTTTTTTCTTTTTTTTTTCTTTTTTTTTTTCACTCCTAGGCGGCTAATTACAAACCAAGCACACATCTCATGTGCACAGCTCCCAAAAAAACCCAATTACTCTCGGCCAAACTCAGCAGCCAAAAGGAAAACATTAAAATAGCAAGTACCTGATAACGGTTAATTTGTTACAAAAAGCATGGGAATTTACTCTTCAATTAGTAAGAAATTAAGGGTGTTTCTTAGAATTTAGTTCATTTTACTTAACTGTTTTGTGTTTTTAAATAGGCAAGGACCTGAGTGATTAATTGCTGAAAAAGGAGGCTTATGGAACAAAATGTGGGCTAATGAATTCAAATCTGTTGAGCTGGTCAAGGTACTCCAAAGCACAAGCCAACAAGAGTGTCCTCTTCTTAAATTCCAAGAGCATGCTTGTCCCCTTGAATGGAGAACTAGCCACCCACATTGAGCAATACTGCTGCTGATACCATTGCTGGAAGAATGAGCAAAAGACCAGTCAATTTGGGGCCCAAGACACAAAGCATTGGGGGAATAAAAAATTACACAAGCATAGGATAGCTCTCTAGGGAGAGGAACCGGAATAAGGCTCTATAAAAAGAGGGGAGCTGCATTTCCAGAGGAATGAATCCATCTCTGCTTCTCTCAGTCGACTAGAGCACACAGAGAAACTCCAGTAGGAAGGCAAGAGCAAGGAAGAACAACAGCAACTCTGCAGGAGGCAGAGTTAAAGAGCAGTCACCCCAGTCACTGGTTCACTCTCCTGAGTGAATACTGTCACTCTCAGGAGTGACGCCCTGAATTGAATAAGCTGTCTTCTTCTCTTAACTGTTAGCTTGTATTTCATTTCATTCATGTATACTTCTATGATGTCTGTTGAAGTAGTAGCAGTAGCATCAACCAGTATGAGTAGCTAAATAGCTTCCAGGGGTTAATCTCCTCAACGTATGTTGTAACTGTTGTAATGCACTGGTTTTGTTCCATGTTTTGAAGTTGAAAGTGTTTCTACATTCAGTTACTTGATCTCTAATTGAATGCAAGCTAGAACTAGGGAAATATGGAAGGATAAACTTGGTTTGGATTAATTCAACTTCAACTTGTGACGTAGAGGTAACAATCTATGGTTTTAACTAAGATAGGAATATACTTAGTTGACATGAGCATTCATATAAGCCTGAGATCTTCATGACTTTTTAACTGGACTCAATCATTGGAAAATAGATTGTTAAAGTTACAAAGATGACTCTAGGAAAAATGGGAGCTGACTTAGAGTTACATCTGAGCTGAATGAACAAGAACTTAACCATTAAAGTGCAATTTACAACTGCTGCAATAGGAAGAGGAGATGAACACCCATGGTTTGTACTCCCCTGAGTGAACGTTTTCATTCCCCTGAGTGACACCTTGTCTGTACTGGTAGTCTGTCAACAACAAATTAGGTGATTTAGTTGTCCTCGTGAGATCGACCTAGCTTCCATTATCTACAAAAATTATAATCCAGCTAGTATTTATTTTTGGTGAATTCGACACACACCAGAAAGTGGTGCAGTTGTCGGGGACGGCGTAAAACCTCCATTTTTGTTGTTATTCTTTCAGTAGTGAATAATCCCTCTCTGGTAATTCCCTTGAGCTTTTAATTTCTTCTCTTTGGTGTATGACTAGAAGGCACCAATGAGGTGAACCTGTTTTTGATCTGGAAATTGAAGCTACTATACGCAGAGCCAGAGTAGCAAAAAGAAAGCAAGATCGGTTGCAACAGAACTGCCAAGAAGGTTCATCAGAAATGGCTAACCAAGGTGGTAACCCGGAGAACAAAAGGAACCCTGGTTGAGATCGACAAAATCAACCTGAGAGATTGCTCAGAGATTTCTTTATTCCACAACAAAAAGAAGCCCAATCCCCATTAGTGTTCCCTGATGTTGAGGCAACCAATTTAGTTAAAACCACAGATGATCCAATGGACTCAGTCAGCCTGCCCATTCCATGGATTACCTCATGAAGATCCTAATGATCATATAAGAAGTTTCTTGCGTTTATGAAGTACTTTTAAGATTCAAGGCTTATCCAATGATGACATTAAATTGAGGTTATTTTCTTTCACTTTGCAGGATCACGCCCAAGCATGGTTCAACACATTGCCCAACAATTCTATCTCCATTTGGGAAGAGTTAAGACAAGGCTTCCTTACAAAGTTTTTTCCACCTTTAAAAGCTGCACAACTGAGAACTGCAATAATGAATTTCAAGCAGCATGGAATTGAAACACTCTATGAAGCATGGGAAAGATTGAAGGAAATGATAAGGAAATGCCCTCAGCATGGTTTGGAAGAGCACCTCCAACTGAGCATCTTCTACAATGGT